GGTCACCTTTCCTACCTGGAGAACTACATTTCCTAGAGTGCGCTGGAGACCACTAAGTTCACTGGTGTCCACTTTAGCCATAGCTGCTGCCTACTATCATAAAAAGTGTAATTCTAGACTGGACTTGTTCTTGCAAAGCTTAGGAACCCATTGCAGCATCTTCCAAGCTTTCCCAAAATAATCCCTAAGATCTACCAAATGGCTCCTTCACTTCCAAGTACCCCCAAACACCCTCACCCTTTGCATTCTTCACAGGCCAGCCCGTCCATCTCTACATTATCGAAAGCTACTCTCGTCCCTTCCATTTCCCCCAATCAGACCTCTGTCCTACAGGTCCCTCCCAAAGATGCTCCTATACCAAGGCTCCCTCAAAGTGTCTTCCCTCCAGGGTTAAGGAGACTAGGGATTCACAAATGGCCTCACCTTTGCTGACCCCTGCAGGGGGATGAGGGCTTGAAGGTGGGACTCTTTCCTCCTCTTCTTCCTCTTCAGCCTGTGGAGGCTCCACAAAGTAATCGTCTACTGGTTGTAGGAAGGGTTCCTCTTCTTCCTTGTCCTCACCCCCTTCTACTTTGCCTCCCAGGGGCCAGGACCGGGTGGAGGGGTCACTGAATGTGCAGAAGACCCGAGACGATGAGAACCTGGACCCAGGACCCCAGGCTTCCATCTCCTGCCTTGGGATGGGCATGGAAGATTCCCTCCCATCAGGAGCCTTGGGATGGGCATGGAAGATTCCCTCCCACTCACCCAACTGCTGTCCCAGATGGGTCGGGGGTCACTGGAGGGGGGCAGCACACATACTCCACACCTCGGAACCGATCCGTGCCACAGGGCAAAAGCATGCCCGAGCCATGCAGGATGAGGCCCTGGGAGCTGCAGGCCTGTGGGAAGAGTGGGCCCAGATGCCAGGACTGTGGGGTAGGAGCGGGTAAAGGGGGAGCCTGAATGCCTGAGTCTTGGGGGCTGATGGGAATGTGAGCCAGGATTCCTGATTCTGTCCTGGTGGGGAGAGGGGGATGAGGCCCAGACTCTTGGATTCTGGAGGAGGATGTTAGGGGACTGGACTCCTGGGTTCTGGGGGGTGAGGATGGATGGGCCAGGGTTCTGACCTCCTGTGCTTCCTGATGCCTCCGGGTCGAACTCTCACACTGGTCCATGTGCTCCTGGTGCAAGAACCGGCAGCCTTCAGGCACCAGCAGTGCTTCGCTCACGAATTCACCCGCTAAGGAATAGGGGGAGGGGCACCAGAGTGAGACCCTCCCACAGCCACTAGCCCCATCCTCCATATTTTTTACCCTCAGAGGCTGCTCTGCCCCATTCAGGACCTAGGCATCCAAGTCCCTAATGTGAGCCTTGAGGCTAGGGCCCAGAATCTCGCGCCTCGGAGAGTCCCCACCGCCCTTCCCCTCTCCCAGCCTGTGACTCACGCAGGCAGCGGAAAGGCACAACCTGGTGGTGGGGGTGGGTACAACGGCCACCCCGGGCACCCCCGCACCAGCTCTCCATAGGGATGGCCTGCGTCGCCTGTTCCACACGTGCAATCTGCAGTTCCGGGTACACCTATGGACACCGGGTGGGGGCGATCAACCCACTGCCCCGCCCCTACCAGCTGCACTTCTCTACGGGACACGCCCCTTTTCAAGGCTCCAATGGTCAAAGGGCCCTCTCCTTAGGCCCTGCTTGTACAAAGACCCGGTCTTAGATATCTAAGTCCCACATAACCATTGGCTACGTCCCCTAGTAACTTTTCTTAAAAGCCCCGCAATCCTTAGGCCCCTCCCCTTTGCCTGTCCAGTTTCTTTACAAAGGTCCCTCCATATGCCCATAAGCTCAATTCCTCTAAACCCATGTGCTCCTAGTCACTTTGGCCCCCTTCCCCAATCAAGTTTATCTCTCCATAGATTCCACCAACCCTTAAGCCTCGCTTATTTCCCTGTTTGGATTCTCAGTAGGTGTCCCTTCTTTTTGTATTAGGCCGGCCTTTTCATAGCCACGCCTCCTAGCTTTCCACTCTCTTTGGGTTCCACCGCTTTTCCTACCTTTCTGGCCCAAAGGTCTTTTTGCCTTGGTCCGCCTCTCCTTTGGCCACACTCACCAATACTTCTACTTTTTAAGGCGCCCACCACTTGCTAAACTCCTTCACTTCACCGGATGGATACCTTTCTTAGGTAGTCTTTGCACGGTTCTCTGCTTTCCCAACCTAGTTCCTCAAAAACAGGTCCTGCTCTATCCTAACTTTGCCTCTGTTAGCCACCTCCCATAGCTTCCTAAGCCTTCTTAGAGCCCTCATCTCCTTGGCCTTTTGCACATCTAGCTTTCCCAGGGGCGACTCGGCCTCATCTTGAACCGGCTTTCCCGCTGACTACGCCCATCTCTAGGTTCCGCCCACCTGTCTGCAGTACTCTAACACGCGTTGCGGGTCCCGGAGACAGCCTTGCGAGCGCTGTCGGTCTGGTTCCCAGCGGCCGGTGCGCAGGTCCCGATGAAGGGTTAGGCGCCCGCATAGTCCAGCCACCTGAGCCGACCCTGGGGCCTGGGTGTAGAGGTGGAGAGGTCAGTGAGGGCCCGGGAGACGTTGGCATGCTGGTCCCTCGGTCCTTTGCTCCCTGGGACTCATGTTTAGACCCCCATAACCAGCCCCCTTCACCAAGCACCGCGCACCCGCCCTCGTAGAGGTACGGTTCCCTGGGAAACAGCACCCACAGGGCGGGGGCGCCCCAGCTCTTCTGTTGCTATGGCGACCCAGGTCCCCCAGGACTCTCTCGGCTTTGTTGCGGCGGAGACAGGCTCCGCCCCTACCCCGGCGCAGCCGCACTGGAGCCCGAAGGGGTTAAACCTGAATTGCGGGGGAGGCGGTCAGAACCCAGGCGTTCTGGCCCCTCCTCCCTCCATACTGAGCTCAGGCTCCCATTCTTGGGTGCAAGGACGGCAGACAAGGCCTGGCGTCAGGGCCCTGCAAGCCAGGACACGAAGTCCTTAGGGCTGGAAAGCAATATTCTAGGTCGGGGGGCGGTGGCTGGAGGCCTTGACTTCTGGGTCCTGAGTGGCTGAGGGGCTCCTCATATGGGTCCAGAGGATGCAAAAGGCCCGGATTCTTGGATCAAGTGCCTTACTGCCTGGTGTGTCCCATGTTCAGGTGGGAAGGGGCTAGGGCTGAGTCGCTTAGGTCTAGAGGGTCTGAGGGGACTAGACTTCTGGGACCCGGGGCTCTGGAAAAGCCAGGTTCTAAGCTGGGGGTTGAGGGGCCTGGGACAACTGATGATGGGGAGCTGGGGCCTGGATTCCTGGGTTCATGAATGCCTAGTGCCATTAGGGGAGCCTGGGGGGCCGGTCACCTGGCTGGAAAGGCTGCACTTTCTGCCCTGGACATGTCCGCGCTGGGGTTCAGAGGCCGGGTCCCTTCCCTTCCCCCATTCCCCAGGACCCGGCCGGGCCTCACCTCGGCCGCACCGGGGCTCCCACCGGCCAGGTTCCCGACGGCGAGCTGCGCGCGCAGAAGCAGCAGCAATAGCAGCAGCAAACGGGGGGCGGGGGCAGGCCCCGGCAGCGGCCCAGACCGCGCGTGGCGGGGCTGGCGTGCCCCATGTCTGGGCCCTCGCGCCCTCAAGTCCCTTGCACTCCCGCCCTGCTCTGCCCGGCCCCAGCGGTGACAAGAGCTCCCAGCGCCACCGCCGCCGCCGCCTCCTCCCGCCGCCCCCGGGCTGCGCCGGCGCCGCCAGCCCCGCCCCGTACCAGCCCCGCCTATCTGGTCAGGACAATAGCGTGGCAGCTCAGCGCAGAGTGGAGCAGCTCGGGAAACCCGGGTGGGGGCCTACGTCAAGCCCCCGCCCCCTTGAGATTCCAGGTGTCCAACCCCACGCAAGGGCCTACCTAGCCAGGAGTCTGGGTCATAGGCTCCGCGGTCGTGGATTTTGTGTCCTCCCTCAGGACCCTAACCCCCAGCTTTCTCCTTCCTCGGACCACTCAATAACCAGCTTCCTTCTCTTCTAGGGATCACCGCATTAGAAACGCTCCCCACCCCTTTTGAGGTCTCAGGAATACAGACATTCAAATATTTCCCGATCAAGAGCACAGCATTGAAAGGATTAAGAAGTACAAATTAGTAGTTAACAAAACAATCGTGGGGGATGTGGAGTACAGCATAAGGAATATAGTCAATGATATTGTAATGGCTGTGTATAATGCCAGGTGTATAATACCAGAGTAATGGGGCGGGGGGAATCACGTCGTAAATTATATAAATGTCTAGCCATTGTGCTGGATACCTGAAACTAATATAAAATAAAATATAATTTTTTTTTTTTTTAAAAAAAGAGAGAACACAGCATTTGAGACCCAGTCCTCTTCTCCCTCAGATCCAAGATTCTGGCCCCAGGCACCTTCTCTCTCAGGACCAGAGACCAAGCCCTCAGGCTTTCTGCTGTTTCTCAAGAGTCTCAGGTGTCTGGACTTTTAGTTCCTACCTCAAAGATCCATGACACAAAGCCCCCAGACCCCTTTTTAAAGGATGACCTGAGTCAGGTACCCAGCACCTCAGGACAAGGGGCTGGACTCCTATCATTGCTTTGAGGATCAGGGCATTCCTATTTTTTCACCCCTAATCTCCCCTTTCCTGCCTCTTCTTTCCTGCCTCCCCTTCAGGGCTCACTGCTTTGTGTTCTTAAATAACAATGTAGAATTCTGTTTTCCTCAAGACGACTGGGGCAGACCTGTCATGTGTGTGTATCTGTGCATGTATGTTTATGCAGATGTATATTAAAAGAGCCTGGAGTACTAAATGGGTAGCAAGGGGCTTGGGGGTGGCTCTCAGTCTTGCTCTTACAGCCACTTTATAACCTAGCTTAGAAGAAGGGCCTTTGGGCAGGCTTGATGGATCCCTTCCTTAATGGAGGTTAATAACGCCAAGACAATCCCAAAGACACAGTCACTTCTTTGACCTTTTTTTAAAAAAATTAAACATAAATATTCTTATCCCCAGATCCCACCCCCACCCATCCAGTAACAGATCTCGCCCTATCCTCACTCCTTGGGCCCAATTCTTCCAGGGCCTTGAATAAGGAAGGTGGAAGGAATCAAGAAGGAATCATCTTGGCTTCCCAAGGATTGAATTGCCATCTTGGCTGCACTTCTATTAGCCAAGCGAAGCGCCCCTCAGGGAGAGCCAGGACAAGGCTTGGTTCGGCCTCTATCTTAATCTGCCATATGTCACCTTTCTTCTCAATGCAGTTGGTCATCTTGAAATATCTTCTTTCAGTGTCTGGAAACAATTTCCATCCCTGCCTCTAACTCTCATCACCCCCTGTCCCTATTCCTCTACAAAGGGCCCACTGAGCATCTTGCAACTCTTTTACACAGGAGAATCGGTGGGCATAGTGGCCGTCTTGCTCCCACTTGGGGCAGCTCCTTTGGCTGAGCAAACTATACACCAATGACCCAGGCAATAGTAATGAGCTATCTCTCCCTTCAATGTTCAGTTTTGAAGGAGTAAGTTGCCAATTTGTTCTGGTTCCTCACAAATCTGGACAATCCATTATGGCAAGTTGAAGACCCCAGCATTCTTCAGTAGGAGAGATGTCACACATGAGTCTGGAGACGCGCATGGCTGGGTATGGGGAAGGCAGCATGTGGGAAAGGGGGAGTCCCAGGGGCCGGATCTGGGGGTCCAAAGGATGTGGGTTTGATGTAGCTGGTAAAAGCTCGAGGATGGGGTGTGGTGAGATAACCTGCCTGGGCTCTATACAGTCTGCAGGGAGGGGGCATGCCCAGGTGTGGGTTGAAGTCATAGAAGGGAGTGGTACCCAGAGGTTCAAGGCGGGTAGGTGGTGGCAGGAAGAGGCCTCCTCCAGGGGCTTCACCAAGGCTCAGGCTCACACTGACTCCTCGGACTTTGTAGTAACCATTGGTTGGGTCCTGAGGAGACAAATGGAACTTGTGAGTGTGAGGATATGGGAGGGCGAGGGCCACTGATGGACAGACACACTGAAATAGAGCCAGACCTAGTGAGAAACAAAAAGACAGAAACAGGAGCAGGCAGAGACAGAGAAACAGATGTATAGACTGGTAGCAAGACAAAGTAAGACAGAAAGACAATGACAAGACAAAGGAACAGAAGGAGAGCGGCAGAAAAAGGCAGAGACAGAGGGATATAGGCCTGCTGAGAGGTGGTGGTTTGGAAGGAGATGCAGTGGGAACAAGAGAGACTGAGACCAAGACATTTATTCATCTGTCTGCCTCGCAGCCCCAAAGCTTTGATGCTGTGTCAAGCTCTGTGCTGCTACTGGAGAGATCTATCACTAGGATAGATCTGGACCTGTCCTCATGGAGATCTCAGGCCAAAGGGGAAATTGACAGATCCCCAGACAGAGCCCAGAGGGGTCAGGACTGTAAAGGGGGAAGTATAAGTGGAGTGGCTAGGACTGTGATGGTAGGAACACAAGGAAGAGTGATGAGGCTTGATGGGGAAGCACAGACAGGATTATCAGAGCTGTGATGCGGAAGCCCAGGCGGAGTGACTAGGGCTGTGATGGGCAAACCTTCAGCATAGTGATCTGGCTGTGATGGGAAAGCCCAGATCAGGGTGATCCTGGCTGTGACAGGCAAAACAGAATGATCAGAGCTGTGAGGAGGGAAGCATGGGCTTTCTAGAACAAGAACTATCTGAGCTGAGACCAGAGGAAGTGGAGGAAAGAATTAGGAATGGGAAAGAAGGTGGGAGTGTTTCAGGCCAAGAGAATAGCAAAATAGCATGTGCTAGTTACAGAGGAGAAAGAGAAGGGCTCTAGACTCGGGACTGAGGTCAGTGGCACTGTCCAAAGATTGAACCCTGAAAAGAGGGGCAGGACTGGGGAGATGTCAGGCCAGTGTGGGACCTAGTAGGTGGAAGGGGCCAGAGAGAGGCATCCAGGAGGCCTGAAACATGTCTGTGATGGAGAAAGCACACGCAGAGTGAACCCTGATCTGGGGCTCAAGACGGAGGACAAGGCTGGGACAGATATGTGGGCAGAGTCAGCAGATATGCAAATTGAGCTGTGAAGGTAGATGAGAAAGACCAGGAGACAAGAGAAAGAACAGAGGGGCTAGGTCCCAGCTCTGCAGGAAACAGAATGAAGAAGGAGACAGAAGCAGCGAGAGAGTTGGACACACAGAGAAAGAAGTTCCAGCCCTCTCAACACTCACCTTGGTCTCCAGAGGCCCCGCCTCATCCAGAACTAGGTCACTGTGGTCTGTGTGCACAATGGGACCCTAGGGTAGGGTGCTGAAGTGAGAGGGAGCAGTCGGAGGATCCTCCCGCCCCCGTGCCAAACCCAAAGGACCCTCAACTGGACAGCAGAGGCCAGACGGGAGAGAGCTGGGGTCGGGACTCAGGAAAACGAAGGGCCCTGGGGACACATTGGGTCTAGGGAATAACATGATCAGAGGTATATTTGGATTTGGGTCTGGGGTCAGTGTTGGTACTAGGACCCAATCTGAGTTTAGGAGCCTGGTTGGGACTGGGTTTCTATTTGGTTCTATAGGCACAGTCAGGTCTGAGAACTCTGGCTTCCTACCCGTTCCTTGCTGCTGCCTGTCTCCTCTTCCTCCGGGCCCCGCAAACTGGGGCCATGGCTGCTGCCTGGGATTCGCACCAGGTTCTTTTGCTTGGGGAAAGAGGCTGAGGCCAGGGACAGTGGGGTTGGGGTGGTGGGGAGGCAAAGGTAAGTAATGGGGTAGGGTCACAGTTTGTAGAGATCAATGAATAGGAAGAGAGAGGAATGGGGGAATGGGGTTAGGAGGCTAGGAACCAATTAGAGCCCTGGCCTGGGAAGGCAAGGAATGTGACCCCGAGGAAATGGAATTAGGGCTTGAAGGAAGAACCAGGGCTGAAGATGAGCCAAGCTCCACAAGGGGCTAGAGAAGTAGCACTGGAGCCAGGCTTGTCAGGGGGCAAGGTGAATGTGTGAGGGGGTGGGAGTGGGAGCGGGGGTGCTGGGGCGAGGCTTAGGTACTGACACTTGCTGTGGCGCCAGCAGCAAAGGACCACCCCAGTGATGACCATAAGGAGAGTCATGGCTGCGGAGGCCACTCCAGCCACAATCTGCACAGTGGGTAGCAAGTCTGCAGGGAGAAGAAGGTACATTCTGAGAAGGGTAAGTCGATGACTGAGGAGGAACTAGGGAAGAGGGACTCAGGGCTTAGGCTGGAGTCTCTGGGTTCAAAAGGTAGCCAAGTTTGGGATACCCAAGGTTTATAGTCCCCTAGCTTGGGGACCCTGGACTTCAGGGATCATGAAATTGAGGTTCCACAAGTTTAAACTCCCTCGCTTTCGGAAGTCTTAGAATTTGAAGGGTTTTAACTTTGGAGGTTCCCTTATTTGGGGCACCTGAGTGTGAGGAGTGTCTCGGTTTAGGATTCTGTATTTGAGGGAAGTTATCGTCTTGGGGTCTCAGGATTCAAGGGGTTCATAGTTTTGAGGCTCTCAAGTTCCCTCTGTTTAGGGATTGTGGCGTTTTGGGGGTCTGGGATCCTCAGATTGGGGGTCGTCAGGCCCAGGGTCTCACCTCTACGGCCCAGGTTGACCAGGGTGCCTCCCTCACCCAACCGGTTCCGGGCACTGCAGTTGAAGCCCCGACTAAAGTCGGACTCCTGGGTTCCCGAAATGTGTAGCACAGAGATCAAACCTGGACCCTGTCCCCCTCGGCCTTCCGGGGCTGGGAACGTCTCCACCAGGAACCGACCCTGCGACCCCTTCGCCAGGAAGCCTTCATCCCAAGACCAGACCTGGGGACACAAAAGAGGGAGGTCAGAGAAGACAGGGGAGGAGGGAGGCAAGGTGTCGGAAAAATCAGAGGTAGTTACGGAGTTTGGGGGCGCCGGCTGAGAGGTCAGGGATCACGGCTGGATGGGTCTCGAGTGTGTGGTCATTTCCTTACCACGGCTTCGGGCGCCGGGGAGGCGAAGACTAGACACTGGAGGCGGGCGGGGCCACTCAGGAAGGCGGGCGCGGAGTGCAGGGCGGTCACTACTGGGGGAGCTGGTTTTGGAGATTTTGAGCCAATCAGAGGAGGGGTCTCGCCCTCCCCATCCCACTCCAGCATATTTCAATAAGGCGGGGCCAGGCACTCCCCACTAACCCCGACCAACAAGGCCACGCCCCTCAACGAACTCCAAACCTCTCCGAGGCTCTCCTTCACTAGGTCCAGCTTGTACCCCGCCTTAAAAAGCTTCCCCTCTTAAAGCCACTCCCACTCGCGTTAGACTGCGCTCCTGTCCATCCTAGTCCCAGGACCTGCCCAGTCCTCTAGGAAGCACCGCTTTCTCACCGTTCACAGTCAACCTAGCCTCTGCAGCGCCGCCCCCCAGGCCCGAGAGCCCTGGCTCAGCTCTGCACACGTAGTCGCCTGAATCCTCGAGCCCCACGGACGGAAGACGCAGCGTGGGCCCGGAGCCCAGCACCTGGGATATGAAGGAGTTTCAGGGGCAGGACCTTGGGAAGAAGCTCAGTCCACTGCTTGCCACCACCACTAGCCCCTTATCCGGACTTACCTTCGCGCCCCCGCGGCGGGTCCAGGTTACCCGTGGGAGCGGATTCCCGCGCCAGGCACAGGTGAAGGAAGCGTCTTCCCCCGTGTCTACAGACAGCGGCTCTGGCTTTGCTTGCAGAATTGGTCCGACTGGAGGAGAGGAAGGATCACGTGATTGAAGAGGGCGACAACTTCTGACCCAGGAGCAGCCACTCAAAAACAGCACCCTCAAGGGCCCAAGTATAGGTCCCCAGTCCACAACACAGCTCACAAGCCCTGGCCCAGCCCTCGCCTCGCCTCTGTTTCACTTTGGCACTGACCCAACACAGCCAAACTCTGCCTACATCTTATGTCCACCCCACCTTCTTCCACAGCGGGTGGCAGCAACGCCCCACTCTAGCTCCCGGTTCATTTCTGCTGGTCTCACTTTGGCCACACCCACAGCCCCGCCTCAGCTCACATTGCACGTCCAGCGCGGTGCTGCGGTTGGCGCTACCCACAGCGTTGCTGACCTCGCAGGACACTGGTGCAGTCAGGAATGAGGCGTCTGCCACGACCTCCAACATTGGCCCTCGGGCCCCGAGCACTGGGGATCCTCCCTTTGCCCACCTGCGGTAGTGGTGGGGCTGTTAGTATTGTCCCTACTCCCATCCTAACCCAGCCCTCCCCAAGCCTGTGCTACTAGTTGGGTAGAGGTGATCTACGTCCTCACCGATAGCCGGTGACAGGAGGCTGGGCCATGGCCTGGCATAGGAAAGAGACCTTCTCTCCCTCCTGCACAGTCTGTGGTTCTGCAGACAGAGTCACCACTGGGGGGTCTGTGGAGGTGTGCCAATAATCAGCGGTGAGCAAGGACCTGGGACATTTCCATTGATGACCTAGGAGTTCAACTTCCAGTCCCTCCACCCCAGGAGTGTGGGTCCCCAGTCTCCTCTTCCCTTTAAGCTAGGAGTCCAGGCAGGCCTCCAGTTCCCAATTCTCCCAGGAACTCCAGGTCCACAGCACCTTCCTTCCTTATACCCTGGAGCCTAGGTCCCAGCCCTCCTTTTTACCCAAGGACCTCAGGCTGAGGGCCCAGTGTCCAACTGCACTTACACTGCAGGCTCAGTGTGATAGCTGTGTCTTTCCCCGCAGGAAGGGCTTGGCTCCGGGCCCGGCAGACCAAGGTAGCTCCATCATCATGGCTGGAAGGGGTCAAGGTTAAGATGCTCTCCACTGACACAGTGGTCCCGTCCTTCAGCAGAGTCTGGAGGTTATGAATAATAGTAATGATTTCATCTACCCCTTATATAGTGCTTATTATGTGTCAGACCCTCTTCTAGGCACTTTAAGTATTACTTTATTTAATCCTCACAATTACCCTATGAGGTGCATACTACTATTATCCTCATAGTACAGAAAAGGAAACTGAGGGACAGAGAGGTTAAGTTACTTACCTAAGATTAACCAACAAGCGAGTGACTGAGCTAGGTAGTCCGGCCCTAGAGCCCTTACCCTTAATCACACATCGAGGGTTCCAACATTTGAAACCCTGCCCTACCATGTCCTTTTCTCCTCTGGATGAGCCTGTAGTCTGAGTGAACCACCCATTTCCCTGAATGGGCAAGGGCTGGCACAGGGACTTGTGTCTGACCTGGTAGAAGGTGGCCCCATCCAGCCGGACCCCATCCCGGAACCACAGCAGCTCAGGGATGGGGCGGGCATCCCCATGGCTCCGACAGGTCAGATTTGCAGGAACCCCAGCAACCAGAGACACAGAGGGGCTGCCCAGCACCTGGGGCGCTTCTGGGGGCACTGTAGGGTAGATTTGGAATCAGAGCTGGATCCTGGGCACAGAGTCCCTGATCTTCCCAGCTCTAACTGACCACTCCTCTGAGCTTCTTGGACGCTTATACTCCCAGCAAGGACTGACAGACCCCCTGGGTGTCTCTGGGGACAAGGGGGCTGGGTCCTCACCCAGCACATGCAATTGGGCTGGTCGAGAGCGGAGGCCTGCTTGTGTAGCCTGACATTCATACGATGCTTGATCCTCTAGCTCCACAGGCCTAATGTGGAGGTCGTGCTGGCCAATGACTGCATTCCCTGATATCCAGTACCTGGACCACCCTGAAATTCGGGAAGAGGCAGTCACATCACAGTTCTGAGTTTCTGGCCCCACCCCACACTAGAAAGACACTACCAAAAGTGTGTACTGGGCCAAAGAGACACTAAGCCTCTCCCAATCCAGAGTCAAGAGAGATTTTGAGGAGGGGAGAGCAGAATCTTTCCTCTTCTCAGGGGTCCCAGCTACCTCCCAGGAACCCCAGTGCCCTCTTTCTCACCCGCAAGCTTAGGGGACCCCCTTGGGGGTGATAAATTCAGAAAACATTAGCCATAAAAATTAGATCAGATGCTACCTCTAGGGAGCAGGGGCACCTCTAAGGAAGGCTTCTGGACCTGGGTGTCTGCTTTATAATTGTTTGGCAAATCTTCCATTTATGTTTTATGTGCTTTCCTGCATTTATGTAATATTTTACAATAAAAATAAAATCCCCAAACCCTATGGGTCACTTACAAGAATAAGCTAAAAATTCAGGACTTCCGAATGTTTACCTGGGCCCATTAACTTCCCAAACTTGAAAACAGAAATTTCAGTTACAGCCCAAGCCCAGCACCCCCACCCTGGAGCCAACCCATTCCTGAGTAGAAAGAACAGCCTCACCTGGCAGGTCCCTTTCACCCCCTAGAGCCAGCCCATCCTTAGTCCACTGAACCAACCCTGAGTATGCACCCAGGGCACAAGACAGCCGGGCCTCATCCCCTAGTAGTACCACCAGGTCAGCGGGCTGTTGCAGGAAGTGAGGAGACAGGCCTAGGAGAATGAGAGGAGGGAGCAGAACTGAGCTTAGGACATTCAAGAGCTCCCTCATTCAGGACTGGGGAGTCTAGTTCTCAACGCCCCCATTTCTCAGACCCAGAAGCCCAGGCTCCAAGACTTCTCCCTCAGACCCAGGAGTCTGAGCCCTCGGTCCCATTTACCCCAGTAAAGTGGCAACTGGCAAACAATTCCCCCTCCCCATATTTACCGCCGCCCCCTCCCCTCGCGGTACCTGCACGCGCTCTGAGGCAGAAGAAGACGAGGAGGACGGGGGCCAGCATCCTGAGTGTGTGTGTCCTAAGATCCAGCAGACTTGCTGTTGCAAACCTCCCACCACTCTAGCCTGGAGCTCCCTTCTTGCCCGACTCTTCACCCAAGGTTAGGGGCTCCCTTGTCTCTGGCCTGGAGTTTCTCAAGTCGGTTCAGTCGCAGGCTCCAACATTCTGAAACGCCAGTAAGTTCCGCGCGCAGCATCTCTTTGAGACCCGGGAGGGTTTGATCCCATTCGCCCCGCCCCTGCGCGCCCCGCCCCCTGGGGGGACCCGTTCTGTTCCCATTGATAAACTCCCGCAGCCGAGACGCCCTGGAATGGGGGCACTCCGGGTGGGGTTCTCCCCGAGAGTGGGCGTCCCAGCTCAGTTGGGATCTGGGAGCCTGAACACCTGGATCGAAGGAGGGGATCCGGCTAAGTTGGACACCAGCATCCTGTCGTGGCTGGGGGCGTACAGGGGTGTGGAGAAGGACGGGGAGGTAGTGGAAGAAACTTGCTCAGCCCAGGTGCTGGAGGGACCGCGCTTAGTGGAAACGGAGCTATAAATGGGGATCCCTGGGGCCTCGCTAGTTTCCGCGCCCTGGGGAGGCGGGGCTCGGGGCTCCCCTGAGCCTGCGGGTCAGAAAGAGGGCACTGGAGTTCCTGGGAGGCAGCTAGGACCCCTGAGAAGAGAGGAGATTCTGCTTTCCTCGCCTCAAAACCTCTCCTCAAAATATCCCTTTGCCTGCCTTGTTACCGCTGCAAACCATAGTACGTCCTAAGATCCAGGAATCCAGGCCCCCAGCCCCTCCTTTCCCAAGACCCTGCAGTCTGGGCTCAGCCCCTCACCCCATTGGGCTGTGGTTGCCTGGCGACGGCTGAGAGGCCGCGGGTGCCCGGGCAGGGGCAGGCTGGGAGGCTGGGAACCGCGCAGCTTGTCCTGATGGCTGCATGCCGCCCATCTGGGGCGTTCCCACGCTGCAGGTTCGGGGGCGCGCTGCGCAGCTGGTCGGGCAGGTGGGCGGGACCCCCAGCCAACTGAGGGGCGACCGTGGACCTGGGACCCTGGGTCTGACATTCTTGAGCCTGTAGGGACTGGGGGGTCCACACTCAGGTTTCCCCTTGTTTCTGAGTTCAGAGTCTTGTGTCCCTAAGTGGCAGGGGCTTGGACTTCAAAGATTCTAAGACTAGGGGCTCAGACCTCTGTTAACTGAAACACTCCGAGTTTCTGAGGATCTGGGGACTCCACTTGGTGCTCTGCCTACAGCAGAGGGCATTTGGAAGAGGATGACAGTGGTCAAAAAATCTGGACTTAAGTCTTAGAGTCAGTGGATTTAAGCACCAATCTCTCTTCCACCCCTGCACAGGCCCAGGAGGATTTGAAAATCAACAGACAGTGAACATCTGCCCTAAATCCTGTGTGTGTAGGGGGTGGGGAGAGATAGAGGCCTGAACGTGGAGAGAAGGGCCAGTGGGCCTGGACTTGAGTTTTAGAGGGGTGGGTGCTGGGGGTCCAAGCCTCTAGGTCTGGGAGCCTGAACTCCTGGCTTCTGTTTTGGGGATCCAGTGCCTGGATTTTGAAATAGGATGAGCTTGGGGCCAGCACTCTTGGGGCTTGGAGAAGAAGTCAGGTAGTAAGGCTGTTTTTCCAGACACCTGATTATCACTTCCCCTTCCTGGCTCTCTGGGGCCACAGGCATGGAAAGATGGAGAGCCTGGGGTCCCAGGAGCATCCACAGAAGGAAAACAGCCAAATGGAGGATGGAAGGTTTGTGCTAATTAAAGGTCTCAGCAACTGACAGCTCTACAGCCTGGCCCTGAAGGATACCATCTGGTGAGGGCCCCTATGACAGAACCTCCAGCTCCTCATCCAGCCCATTCCCCAGGAGGTGCCAGTTGGGACAGGGAATGTGGGAGGAGGGCAAGGAATCAGTGATGGGAAGGAAGAAAAAAGACTAGAGAGAACGTTAGGATGGAGCTGTGGAGGCCTGGATCAGATGCCTCATCTTGTTCCGTGAGGAGATCAGGCCTTGGGGTGTGGGGGGCAGGGAGGAAACAAGCAGTTCCAATTCCTGCGGGAGATAAGCAGGCAGAAGAAGCTTATCCTATGTGAGCATGTATGAGCACACTGGGTTGCGGGGGGCAGGTCAACCAGCATATGGTTATAAAATTCAAAGATGTGACAATCAGGAAGACTCAGAGATGGAGAAATAAATAAAAGAAAGGAGCGTAGTCAAAGGATGGCTGAGAGCAAATATTTATTGAGCTCCTGGTGTGTGTGAGAGAGTATGGTGGGAGAAGGAGATAGAGATGAGAACAGAGACAGAAAGACACAAAAACAAACATGTAGAAACGTGTGTGTGTGTGTGTGTGTGTGTGTGTGTGTGTGTGTGTGTGTGTGGAGAGAGAGAGAGAGAGAGGAGGAGGCGGAGGCAGAGGGGAAGAGGAAGATGAAGAGGAAGAGAAAGAAGAGCTGCCTACCAAAAAAAGAG